GGTAGGTTTTATCACATATTTCACGGTTATTCAAACAAAAACTTACATATTCCACATATCAACATTGCCCAAATCCATTCGCGATAAAAACGACGGTGAAAAAGCGTTGATCTCTCTCAAAAATTGTTTTCTTGTACCTCGAAACAACTTTTCGTCATACATTTCCTTCTAGCGACTAGCAATGTTTGCCCCCTGACGATCCCAGAGTTCTTCGCGTAAACACGGGTATCCGATTACTGGCAACTCATTCATTGGAAAGGCGCGCTGAAACCGATCGTGGTGTAAGTGGGAAGCTATGACTTTCTACTTGTCCTGGAATACCAGGACCGTCCATTTTGGGTCCCTAATTCTCTTTGTCTTTGGGGCGCATCACCTTAACGTTGTTTCAGTGCCAAACTATGTCCTCTGTGTTACTGGTGGTTCTCCTATAAACGGCTGCGAGACTGAGATGTGACATAAAACTCTGACCTAAACTGTACCCACCTGAATTGAACGTGTAACAAAGACCAAACTCAGTTATTACCGCGGTGAAGTTCTCAGGCCCACACGGCTGCGATTTCCATCGACATTTCTTGATCATGTGATCAATTCGATGCCCGTGAGTTCTGACGAACTGCGCGAAATCGAAAGAGTCATCAAAGTCGAACGATGTGTCATCGAGCACATCTTCGTCATCATCGTCGTCGGGTTTCTTCGATTCCTTTTCGCGACGACGGCGACGAAGATAATTGAGGAAGTTCGGGATCGGCGAACGCGCGAACAGCACTTCTTCCTTGTTGTCGATGTACTTTTGAGGTGCTAGAATCGACATGACCTGTGGATTTAGGGGAATACAAAAGTTAACGCCAGTTAAAATAACCTTCTGCGTCTTCTTCTCTATTTTCGGTCCGCTTTAGCCATTCAAACGCTGAGGGTACCTAAAAGAGACGCAGTGAAATGCTACAGATGTCATTTTTTCTGGAGAGATTATCCCCAAACGAGCGCAAACGTCACTTGAAGGAGAATACTAACACTTCTTCCTCTTCGAGACAAAACCTAAATGTTTCGATTGGAACATGCAGGAACATGCACAAAGCAAAATTGTGGACGCGAAAAAATACAGCAGCTTAGGTCTCTAGTTTTTCTCGGTATTGTTTACTGGATGACATCGTAAATGGAACAAGGACAATGCTCCCTCAGCCCACATTTCATCAGGTTTAGTAACCAATGAGCTACACCACACTCGACAGTGCATTCATTTGGTAGCTGGTTGTTTAATTACTATAAATACGTACACAATCGGATTTTTATAATGGCTAGGAAAGCAATTCTTCCTCTTTAGCCTTTATCATTACCTGTTTACATAGTGAACTTAGGTAAAAGACATGTAAATCAAGGAATTGATTCAGTTGTTGAGTTCCTTTGTTGAAAATATTGATCGATGGCGTGATGTTGTTGATATTTTGTCTTCCAACAGCAATCAGTTGTACGATAGCTGTTTGAATGTACCTTAATTGATCCAAACGAATAAGAAATGTACTTTACTTCCTTAAGATCATACTTCAAATCAAAACCAGATGGCTCTGAAGGGTTAGGGGTGGAATAAATCCCGTATGCCAGCCCAAATCCCGGTCCCATACTCTTTTTTTTTCTGTGATACCCAGTCTTGGTGACCCAAATCCTATTTCCTAGTGAAAATATAGCAAATTCCTCTTCCCATCTTAGTCCTGCAGTCCCCTCAAACGAGATGGTCATGAGAATGAAGTCCATAATCAACCTCTCCTTTGTAACAGTACTGATATGAAAACCAGTTGGGAGAACTTGCGTTGAACCGTGTTTTGAGCGTTTTAGTTTAAAATTTGATACAAATATCCATGTGTCGGTAAACATAAAACATTTCTTACCTTTTCTCCAATGGTACCATTTATGAGGTAGTAAGGAAACAAGTTGAAATTGCAAATCGACACGGCGGGAAAGATAATCTCGTCCAGAAACTCCACTTGTACTGTAGTGGTGATTGGGCGATCAAAGTATTTTTGTATACTTTTCTTGCTCTGCAATACCAACATCATAACCGCAAGTATCAGGATAATGAGCCAGATAACTCGGCGAATTTTCGGCCCTTCCTCGAAAATGAAGCGAAATCCGTGAAGTGTGAGACTATGCAAGAAGTCCTGCCACAACTCGTAAGTTGTCGGGATCTCGTCTTCTTTGTCTTCTTCTTCGTCGCTGTTAGCATCTTTGTGTTTCTTCTTTTTCGGTGACTGTTGCGGACACGCCATGTTTGCGAAATTGTGTGCGTCTACGAAACCCCGCTGCAGTATTTCTAACAAAGAGGTGTGCTGTGTTTTTACGACCACTAAGACTTCTTCAACGACTGTTTTATCGGTTGTGAATTCCAAGGGATTGTAGCCCCTAGAGTTCAAATAATCTGTTTCAATGGGCATCCTTAGCGACCATTATTTGCTGACCGTGCCGTTGGGTAGTACATATCATTAGCCATTTTCTCTGTGTTCTTGAAAAATTCCCATGATCAATTCGTTCTCCCAGATGACGTTTAAGCACGACTTGCGATGTTAAATATTCGGTGTCAATTTTACGAGGAGAAACTTGCGTCCGACAAACGTCTCACTGTCACTGAATCAATTGACGTCAAAGAAATGCCGCGATTGCAAAATATAAAACGCTGCTCTCAAAGGAATTAACTCTTCCAGATGAACTAGTTTACGTTCATTAGTGAAACGTTTTCATCAATTTGTCAGTGTAAATGCTTCGTTAGAGAAAAGCGAAAACAGTGTCGAGTTATTTTTTCTTCACTTCTGTCTGACGGTGGCTTGGCACGGTGTCCCACCTGCCCTTGCTAAACAGTGCTCAATGAACCATACATGAATCAACCATGTTTCAGCTGAAACTGCTTGACGATGTACGGTAATGACATAATGGAATTCTGGTACCGGTAAATTTTGTGCAAACACCGTCTTGGATGAACTGAAATGCAAATTGTAAAGCCACGAGGTTTTGTTTTTCCGTCTTATGGGTAACATCCAGCACACTGAGTAGATAACCATGGAATTGCCTTTGTTTAAGAGTCTTTGTTTAGCATTTGTATACTGCTTGGTCATTTGCATGCTGGCTGCCTTCCACTTGTTAGTCTTAGTTTATGTAGCCAGACTTCAAAGCGCGCTTACTGTGATCCGAGCTATGGAAATCAATCAAGACAGTCGCCGATATCGATCACTCTGTGAATTTCCTGAAGCTCTACTTACAAATAATATATTCTTAAAATTACGTTGGTCTTGATGGTGGAAAACTCGGTGTAAAAGGGCTTAACATATTACCAAAGCATTGTCGCATTGTGTGGCGGCTACGGGCATTCTAAAAACTTTGGTTACATTTTCCCTTTTTATATAGCCGGGAAATCTATCTCAGTGTTAACGTGCATTATACAACTCAAACTTTCCATACAAACATACAAACAAAGCGTGGGCGCCATGTTTGTTCAAAATTAACTTGTACCCAGGCTAGTTACTTCTATACCTACACATCATCCAACACTCTCCAATCAATAGACCACATTCGTATTCTCGGTGTTAGACTGGAACTAGCTTGCAAGTGAGGCTAATGCGGGGAGTCTTTCCAAATGTAAATGAAATTTATATCTTTTTAGTGATATTCCCTCGCATGAACCTCCATTGCAAGCTAGATCCAATCCAATACCGAGAATACGAATATGGTCTATTGATTGAGAATTCAGTGACTTTGTTCCCAGGGCCTTTCGTCGTTCAGAGAAAGGTGGTTGGTGGAGATAGTGTTAAGTTTACAACGAATAAATTTCAAAAATTGTATTAAAATTTAAAACGAAAAAAATCCAAAATAAATTTATCACCAAATTCTCAATGCCAGAATTAGACGAAATGTATCGCTGTCAGCTATCAGTCATTTCAAATCTGGCACAGAAAACCTTATTCCCAAACGATAAACCTTAGTTTCAGGTTGAAAAAGATTCTTTGATCCAAATTCCACAGGATATTCTTTGTAAATTGCGTTTTTGTTGCCATAAAACGTCTTGAGCTTACTGTCTTCACGAAAGCTATGCGTTGGTGACGAGTGGAAAATAATTCATTGAAAAAAAAAGGTTGTCTTCGTGGAAAATGTTTGTCTTCCATGGCTCTCCCTTAATGTGTAATGTAGTGTCGTTGATAAATTTGGGTAATAAAAGCTCGGCCTGTCAAAACAATTGAGCGCAAGAAGGATCTATATTTTTTTCTAATTTTCAAATTAAATTTGACACAAAGACGACTTTGACACCCAAAGTTGTGTGCACATGTATGAAGCTTTACTTTTTTTTATTATCAGCGCGGTTTGAAACAAAAAAAATAATAATAATAATATAAAACAGAAAATCAGTCAGCTGCCTATAATTAAAAGAATAATTTGCGGCGCCCTCACACGATCTTGTAATAAATAAGTACGGTTTCCAAAATTAAGCCATTTTAATTTCCATTATTGGTAAGGGACGACGTGCACATTTGTGACGAGAAGCTGTCTTCTGTATATCATAAAATCAAATGACATTGTGTTTTGGACAAAGTCAAACGGTAAGGAGTCACACATCAGTGAAGATTTCCTTGATAAATTCTTCAGATATTTTTTGAATTAATTTAAATGGGGAAACTATCGCGTTTTGTCCCAGAATATCAATTGCCATTATTTTTTCCAAGAGGTCATTACTAGCTATTCTGTTCTTCCTTTGAATATCAAGATTCGCTCTCGGAAGGGGGTACTCGGCTTTCAAGAGAGCTTTTGAATTTTTGCGTTTTAATTTGTTTGAATATTTTTTCGATAAATAGGAACTCTACTTAGAGCACAAAGACGTTAACTAAACAGTTCCTATCAGGGCGTCAAAAGCCTTGAGGAAAGGGAAGATATCGTGTCCGAAGTCTCATTGGCGTTTAATACGGCTTATTATCCAGACTGGAGTATCCGATTCAGTGATATGGTGAATTGAGAAAAGCGAGATACTGTGGCGTACATGAACGAGCGTGCATAAAACATGAGGTAAGTACAGCAGGATATTTCACCTGTAACATACTTCTTCTCAAAAGATATCTTGAAATATCGCTCATGAAACGGGTCTGACAAATCCTGTATTTTGACAAGTTCAATCATGTTTATTTTCTGAAGATAGAAAAGACGAAGTCGTGTTGACAAAACCGTCCGAAAGTCAATTGCAAATTTTTGTAATTACGCTTTGACCGCGCTTCAGGAGTGTTTTCTTTAGTTTACTATTTTACTGTCTTATTCTAGTGGAATTTTGGCGGTAAACAAGCGTTCTTTAATGACTTCACAAAACGCTATGTCATTGCGAACGAAAAAATTCAAAGCATCGATTATTTGGCTCAAAGATGCATTGCTTACGATTCGAAAAAATAAACATCATAAACATTTAAATAAAAGAGAACCAGGAGGAAAAGAGATAATTGAAGACAAAGAACACATTTATTGGTGTAGTTTTATTATGTTCCATTTATAGGCGAAAAAAAAGTCCAATTTAATCTTTCAGTCATATAGAACTATTCTTTGTGATACGATCAAGACTCGTTTGGAGACGTAGCTTTTACATGCATAATTTATTGGCGAACAAAATAGGTCTGTGTTAGGAATAGGAAATATTTCAAGCAAAGCAGCTGCTCTTTACTTGTGGTATTGGGAAGATAAACGCTAATCTTTGTTTGAACAGTTATTTTTCATGAGATGCAAATATCGATAAATTTAAAATGTACTTTTTCCCATTTCAAAATGAATCCCATGTCTGGTATGAATTCAGGGCAAAATAAAGGAATCGAACGTTTTGTGGTGAATAACTCGTGTAGCGCATAGTCGGTTGATAGATATGGAAGTGATAATTGCACGTTAAGTCTTTATAGGTTGAATTTAAGATATTTTTTAGGTCCAGTAAGGCTTTATGATAAGTGTGGCTCAAAGTAGAGTGTATTATGATATATTTATTAAAAAAGCTCTGAGGAATGAAGCTCACAAACCAATTAAAACCGGTCGATAAGAATTCGTTGTTAGATGTTAATGTACTTGTCAGGATCGTGTATATAACTTATTATCACCTTTGCACGTTCTTTACAACGTCACAGACAGCCAATCAGGTCTTTATCAGTCTTCGTTCCAAAAAGCTAATCGTAGGGCAATTGTATTCGGCATTTCAAACTGCAAAGTGCAAATATATATCAGCTGAAAAATCAAACTTAATTGTTCGCTCAGGGTTTGTTTAATCCGCCGTGTTCATTGGGTATTGTCGTACCCTCCCAGTTTGATCGAAAAACCTATTCTCGTCGCTAACACCTATTCAGTTCCTTTCATGTTGGTTCTTAGAATTTTAGAGTGCATCATTTTTTACATCATTTCCACGCTGGTACCGAGTTCATGATTTTCTTGTTTCTTTTTGTCCGTTTGTTTTACGAGGTTTTAAGAGCAAGGAGAACGTGATACAAATGTCCCGTTTGAATAGAAGAAATACATCGATGTGTGTGCTGCAATAAAAGAAGTATTAGTAGATTAATGGGTTTGTTTGAAAAAAAAATCACTGAATCAGAACAGAGAGAGAGAGAGAGAAAGAGAGAGTAGTGTGGTGAGGCAATCAGGTCTAGAGGTATAGTGAGATTATGATGGTTAATGTACATTGCAAATCTATTCCTTGTGTGGGCTTTGTGGGAAAATGTAATAGCACAAATACCATGGTCATATATAATGTTATACTTGAACATGAAAAGTTGAAAAAAAGTCGATCTTATCAAAATAGATGGTTAGATATGATAGACTAAATGCAATTAACGTTTAACGAAACAAAAACAGCAAAAAAAAAAGAACTTCACGTTTTTGCTTTTCTTATGAAGAAATCTTAAGTAAAACAAATGAAAACTGAGGGTGCAAAGCCTGCTTTGATATTCATATCTTTTTCCTGCAAGTTAATTGAATTTAATTTCTAAATAGTTTCATTATTCTTGCTCAGCATGCCTCGATTCAATCCATCAAAATTTTCAATATGTTGTCTCTTCCAGTTTTATTTTGTTCATTCATTATTCACTTTTATTTATTTTGATAGGAAAATTCGGATAAATAGAAAGATAAAAAAATTGATACCACGTTGGTCTTGGGAAATTTACAAGAAAGTATAAACTATATTTAAGTTAGAAAGCTCATCGGAAGAAATAATTCCTCACTGGTATTTTTTTCCTCATGAAACTAATTTAAATTCTGCCGAGACGTTGTTAGTGTAATGGAGTTATTGTACTGTTGTTTGCCATCAGTCGACGCGACTTGTGGCCGAAGGTGGTTATTTGATGCAAATTTCAAACTACAAGCAGCACGCTGGGCCGAAACTGGGTATATGCTAATTACGTTGTTGAATTTTTTCGTCTAATATCGAAAAAAAGAACTATCGCAACTGTCGCTTTTGCTTGGGATTTCTTCCAAAGCTAAGTCTCAGATCCACTTTAGAGAATTCATACTAATTGCTATCTGCCATTAACACTGAATTTGATATTTCTGAAGCTATTCGCATCAAAACATTCTCCCTCAAAGTTGCTGGATATCACTCAGAAATTAAAGCATTTAAATGCGTCAGGCATAGCGGCGGTATTATTTGCGGGGACGCGACCGGAGTATCGTTATAATATCCTCACTTTGAAATTAAGATACAGAGATTCAGAGACCAGCAGTTCCGCTTTCACGTCATTTTCCGACGACAAGCAATTAGACTTCGTTGGTTCTTCGCGTGCACCCATTTGTTCCATGCCGTGAAAAAGCGTGTGGCGTGGCTGACTTCCAGATTAAATTCTATCTAACCAAGCTTCAGCAACTGCAAATGTGCGAAGGATGACCAGTTCATGCGACAAAAGAAGTACCATCGTCTCGTTTAAACGTTAGTTCCTCGACACTTCCTCGAGGGAAGCGATCCACTTGTGGGCCTGCGTCGTGTTACGTTTGAGAACTGGTAACCCACCTCGACTGGTGGATTTGCAAAATGAACGTGGGTGTCACATCGTCGAAAGACAATTGAAAGGAGTTCGACATAAGAACATGACGGAAACATGCATTCGAGAAACACACCTGTAAGTACTGTCTACTTGTAGATGTTCCACGTGAATCATCTAGACAGAAATCGGCAGCAAAATTGATTTTGAAGTTTGGGCTTTAGCTTTATTCCGTAGATTAAGTTATTGGACATTTCCACAACTAGCTTGCCAAGTTTATGCTTATACTTAATGGAATGTTTTTGACATGAGATTTTTCATATTCTGGACGGCTGTTTGGTAGTGGAAAGACAAAATACTAACGATGCAAATATGTGGATATCATTCGTTTCGACTCGGCTTGCCTAGGGTCAGTAACACATGAATACCGACGATTCTCAACAATTCTCAACAATGCGCTGCCAATGCGGGATAAAGTACTTGAGCTAAGGATGTTCTTAAATATGAAGATAAATCGCATATGCACCCTCATGGCAATAATTAACTTTTCGAAAGTTGATAGCATGGTTAAAGAACTACTCTGATATTTAGCATGATGCATTGTGCTTCAATTGACATCACCAGTGGGGTGTCGGCGGTACAAGGGTGTTAGATGTTATCTGTCTGACGATCAATTATTCTTCGTGAAATGAAAGTACATTAATTATTATTTTTTATCCACATCAAAATTACAGCTAAAAAATGCATAAGAAAAGAACTCACTGTATGGTATTGATTAAGTATTTGTGGGTAAAAGTAAATGCTAAAATAGCTACAATATTACGCTATTCATTAATTGCACAAATTAATTGATAATCACATTGTGAAATAATTTTGATTCATCATGTACTTCATATTCACTTTCATTACTACTAAATTGCTGCTTCTAATGTGTTTTGTAACAAACAGTAAGGCTCGATTGTTCAATAGATCCTTGGCCATATCTATCTGTCCTTGATTGCCAACTTATCGCCTGATCGGCCTTTTGAGTTGAAAATGGCGATATTTCATTTTAAACAGTTATTTAAGATGCTCCTTGGACAAATGAAATCACATGCTGTTACTGCATGTCTTCATGCAACCCTGATGCAATGTCAGTTAAAGCTCAAATTGAAGAGAAGCAGAACTTTTTCTCGCCTATCTTTCTTTCATCCGGATCTTAAACGACAAATTAAGTTACATGATACCAGAATATTAAGTCAGATACCATTGTTTTCGATCAAAAGGTTGCTTGCTGGTTGCTAATTTACAAATTTATCATGACAACTCAGAAGTGCAGAGTCGCTTGCTGACCAAACCTAGCGTTGTTGTTTTTTGCTTCACGTTACCAAGATTTACGTCACAAAATTTGACAGAAAACCACTACAAGGGATCGTGGTGAAAGCCAAATTACCAATTTACACTAGAATGCAGTTAGTCCTGCGACTTCTTTTGCGAACTCTCTAGAGCAGCTTTCACTTCCAACAGCATACTCAGCTCGATTCATTGATACAAGATAATGAATACCGTAGCAGATTACTATGTTCTTTTAATGCCCTATTTTACAGCGAAATGCGAAGTCCTAACTCAAGCTTCAAGCAGTACGATTGTGTAAGCCTGAAAGTGTGATTGTGTTTTTGTTACCTCGTGGACAATTAAAAAACCACATCCATTAAATAGACGCGGTCTTCTGTTTGGATGTTTTTTCATCAGATGTTAAAAAAAATTGCAATGCAAACTGGATTTTTAAGACGCCTTCTAGCAGCTGATTCTTTTATCAGTGATACCATTTAGTAAGGCCATGTAATTGCTTATTCCTTAATAAGCTGTCTTGCAGTTGCCACCAGTCCTGTGGTTTTTTACAGACAACCTAATTATTTAGTATCGTACATACACCTGTAAAAACGGATACAACAGTTCTTGATCGCATTTCGCTAAAAAAATGACGTTAAAAGTGCTGACGGGCAGAGGAGTGTGTGTTAGTTTACCCGGTAAGGTTTAGCCTGCTAGAAATGAGGGCCGCCCTTTTGCATTTCCTTGCATCCAGTTGAAAGCTTGGTAGATTTTTATTTGACATGCCACGGTTGTTCGATACCCGCAGATTGGTTTTGTTGTGAATATTTAACCCAGGGAATTCAAGAACTATTTTTACTACTTTTCTCATTCAATCTTTGTGTTCCATAGAAACAGCACTGGACGTCAACCGGAGTCTTGCCGTTCGATGTGTATAAACGCATCAGTTTCAGGAGCATATTGTAGGATTTAAAGTTGATGTCTTGGAACAAGGAAAAGACATGAACATTTCCCAAAGGACAACGTTGTGCGCTTTCGTTATTCTGGCTGTGAACTACGCTTTTTCTGAAAGCAAATGCAATAGTCAAGAAAAGGAATCACTAGATCTTATTGGAGTGTTCGATTTCGGCGACACGTCTTCTGTAGAGAGTTTCACGAACGCCATATCGCGACATAACTCTTTGAGTCAAGAAGAATGTGTTCCCATCTTAACGTACAGGACACCGCTTCTTATAAAAAGTGACACGAGTGTTTCTGAGTTGATAGACCTAGCTGAGGAAGCATTGCAGGGTGGTTCTTGTTTTATGGTATACGCAGCTGAGGATGATAATGGAAGGATTGTTCTCGACCTTGCAATAGGTCATGGATTGAAAATACTAACAGCTATACAAGAGGTTAGTATAACACATTTTTAAAATACCAATACCAAAGTGTTAACGGCAGATGAAAGAAAATGCTGAGAAATATGTATAATTAGAGCGCTTAAATCCTGTAAATGCCGTTAAGATAGTCAGACTTTCCGGACGGTAATCCCTTCATCAGTGTTTGTTTCCCCCTAGTCTCGAAAGGTATACACTCGAGCACACTGGAAGAAAACTTCATTGTATTGGGACAAATCTAAATCAGCCTTAATGCGTTCGAAATAAGGGAAACCGAGGACGGTTTGGTGTAATTTTAAGTGGTGACACCACCATTCGCAGACAAAGGATATGCCTAACAGAACCTGCATGATTCCGCAACGAACAGCGACACCGGTAATTACATCATGGTGCAACAAATGTGAGAACATTTTATGTCCGTTCGCGCTGAAGCGATCAATACTTTCTCAATAACGATCCTTCATACTCGAAAACGAAAGTCCATGATTTGGGCAGGGTAAACAGCCATTTAAAAGATGGATACTGAAGTGCAGAATGTGCATGGATACTTTACTTACGAAGTCCCAACTTAACAGAATAAGCATTTCCGCCTGAAATTGCATGTCTGAATGCAAATTACTTCAGTGGAGAAGATTGAGTGAATTTATAACTGCTTTATTCTCTTCTTGAAAAGTTATACCCAGAACGATACAAAAAGCGACCGAAATCCATAGGATTGCCGTGCTTGTTATACGTTGTTTTGTGTATAGTAGTGTCGACATCTTTAACTAAATTATCAACCTTAGATGACTGCGATTGAAGACGTTCAAATTGGTTGCAGAATCGACACACTAAACAACGATATGCTCAAGTTACATTATAGTGCAAGAAGAATTTCGATCCCTTGCCTGGTATTGTAAAATGTGCAGTATTACCGAATGATAGGCTTTGACTGGTGCTTCCGTCAAGCAAATTGCACTGCAGGAACATGCTGCCTTTGTTGCAAAAAGGTCGAACAGCGTTGGACAAAACTGAATCAAAATTTTTGGGAACGTTGTATTTGCTATTAATATTGACAGCGTTTCCAATGTTAGCACTCCACTCTTAAATTTCTATATACATTTTCGTGTGCATTGCGGACCAATACTCCAGTGAACGTTTGTAGATATAAACATGCTGTCTGATTAAAGTACCTTAGCGACGCTAATACTGAAGGAAAAATTGGTCAACCTCCCACTAGCTGGGATTCCTGGCCGTAAATTTGTAAAATTGGTAGATATATATTTTGTGTTGAATTATTTCTTAGCTTGTCTCCTCGGTCACGCTAATCTGTGTTTAATACCTGACTCGTCAACTACCTGTAAAGGCACTGATTTTAAGGGGCTGGTGGCCACTGTCCTGGGTTCTCATTGGCACAGAATACAAATTAAATAATAAGCAACTGAGTAAAAGCTACTTGGAAAAATAGAGCAGCGCCCTAGCTATTAGGTGCCCCTGCCTCCACATATAACGTTGTTCGGTTTCCTTTAATCTGTACCACCAATGTATTTTTCCCTTTACAGTTTTCTTTGGATTACGCGAATGAAGAGATAAATTACAAATACGACCCCGTTCGTGTTGCCACAGTGAACAGAACAACTAGCACACAGACACAGCTAAGTGCTTTGTTGGCGCTCTTCCACAATTTGAACTGGAAGAAATTCATCGTCGTTACGGATGGTGTGCACGAATCAAATCGTCTTGTAAATTTACTCCAAGAAAGCCTTGGCCCATGGAATCTTGAAATGATAGACTGGTTGCTGTATACTCCGGACGTTTCGTTTGATGAAATGTCTTCCAGCTTCGATCGTTTAGGTAAAGATGCACATGCCATTCTCCTTATAACAAACAATCTCAAAATGGCTAATGATATCTTCAACGCCAGGGAAACTATTTCTCCATCTTCGTGGATTTTTGTGTCCGATTTGGACGTGACGACATTTACTAACACCTCGTTTCCAGATGTGATTTACACTTTGACACCAACATTGATTCAGGAAATTACGGTTAGTGGTTATGTGGACGATGCCGTTCGATCAATAAGTCTTGCTCTTGCGAGAAGAAGTAACCCCGAATTTGGTACGTGTCCTAAAATGGACGAAATGCGTAGGTGAGTCTTCTAAATCAGTGTACACGCTCTACTTAACGTCGTTTATTTAACAAAATGCAGCTCAGGGGTAACCTTGCGACCGCTATATCTAACAGGGTATTATGTGTTTTATAGAATTGGTGTCATTGTTCAGTTGATATATAAAACCGAGAGACCGAGTTTTACCACATTTCCACGCACCGCAGAGAAGAGTAGAAAATACTACACGCAGCAGAGTACTTTTGAGGAACTTCCAGGTGTTGGAAATGTCTCGAATCTATCTATACATTCCCAACTCAAGGAGAAAACACAAAACTCAGATCGTAAAACTCTTTGCTGATTAAGATCAGATTTTCAAACACCGTCACGGTTATAAAACCTTAGTTATTTATGAATGAGTTTGAGAAAGTGACATCGAAAGCAATAATAATTATACGTATCCGACAGAAGAACGGCAGATTACCCTGGCATTAAGGTAGTTGTGTTCCAAGTCCTTAATTAATTAAGCTAAAAGTAGTAACTTGTTTCTAAAAATGATAACTCTTAAGACAAGGAGAACATGGAGTCAACTCCATGAAATGTTTTTCTGTCTCGTCGTAGATCAATGTTGATCACGTGTTTCAAATGTTTTGGTTGAGGAATTCACAGATAGAACACAAAGCCCCCCAGCCTGTTACATAGTTTGTCACTTAATGAAGGGCGCCCGTTAAATAACGTGTCATTCTCCTTTCTTTAACCAGACTGTTGTCCGAGGTAAATTTCCATGGATCATCGGGACCAGTAAAGTTTGACAACCATGGAGACCGAGTGCCCCTTGGTTATGTTGTTTGTCAGATGGTGTTCGTTGGCGAACGCCGTATTGGTGGTATACAATCTGAGATTTTCCAATTGGGCTACTGGTCTAACAACAAGCTTTTCATCACGGATCCAGGTAACTTGCCTCGACTTAAAATTCTGCTAAACGAGTATCCGCCGAATGTGATGTCAAAACCAAAAATAAATGGCGAACCGTGCCAATCAAATTCGAAGCCGTGCATTAAAACGATAGAAACTCCGGACGGCAAGAAGAGCATTGAGCGTTGCTGTTATGGTTTTGTCATCGATGTGTTGCAGAGTGTGATGAACGAGTATCCTTTCATACCTGAGTTGCTCTTCAGCTTAGATGGCCAGTATGGAGTGTACGATGACACAAACGACACTTGGAATGGGGTGGTGTCGGAACTCCTTAGTGGCAGAGGAGACGCAAGTTTTGATTTGTACATAAGTTCTCGAAGGGCCACCGTTCTTGATTTCACTGAACCGTACATGCCTTCTGGGATTCGCCTGTTGGTAAAGGAAAGCGAACGTGAGGACAACCAGATTTACTGGTTGTCTTATCTACGACCCTTTACTCCTCCAGTCTGGCTCACGCTGCTAGGGAGCCTAGGGGTAATGATATTCTTTCTTTGGGGAATTGAGAAGATCAGTCCCGTCCGAGGATCGAACAAGCTGTTCCATCGTAATTCTTCGTTTGGACTTGACAACGCTGTATGTTATGCCCTCGCTCTTGCTTTTGGCCGCCCTGCAGACGAATCAAAACCCACAACGAACGGCGCTCGGCTCTCCTCGGTTGCTTTTGGAATGGCAATGCTCGTGTTCGTGTCGTTTTATTCAGCCAATTTGGCAGCGTTTCTTATCGTGGATGATAAGACCACTCCAGTCGAGGACATTTACGATCTCAAGGTATGACAATTAGATCTGTTTATATTTGACATTACCACCCGAAAGAGTCTAAATGTTCTACGTTTTTAGCAGCTTCGGAAGGAAATGTCTTGGCGGAAACTTCCCATACCTTCTTGTACAAATAAAAATCATCAAAACTAATCGATAAAATCAAGTCAAGTACATTGTATTTAAAAAGTGTGAACTTAACCAGATAACGTCTCTCGTTTTACATTCCACCAGATTGAGCGACCTCCAGATGGCTTCAATTATGGAACTATTGAGGGATCTTACATGGCCGACTATTTCAAAAACAGCGAAAATGCGTATTTTCGTCACGTTTGGTACCACATGAAACATAACAACGTCAAGAGCCTCTCAGAAGGAGTGCAAGCAGTCAGGACAGGGTAGGCCAAGCTCATTGTGTCTTTTGATGAAGAATAATGATATTCAATTTATTTAACTTTCAACAAAAAAGTATTTTCTCTGTAATAGTGTAGGGGAAAAAGAAAGGAACAGTAACCATGCAACAAGCCATTCTTGTCATCAGTAACCTGATTTTTTTGTCCGCCTTTAAGGAAACGTTTTATATCTTTCTTTAATTAGTTGAATTAATGTTTGATGGTTTGAACATGTTTTGTTTTTCACTGAAGGCTCCAAGTTAAAAAAAGAACTTCTCTTAGTTCAAGTTATGGTTTTGTAGGTAGAATAAAGGCGTGCAATTAGTTCTCGTCCTTCCTCCGAGGGTGTTTCTCCGGGCCCCTCTGGTTTCCTGACACCATTAACACCATCAATTCTGATTCGATCGCAATGCACGAATGCGTAATGAGTTCATAGGAGCGCTTCTTGGCCAAATAAATCACATTTACAATTTTAGCATCAGAATACTTCTGTTTTTTCCACTAATTCAATTATGTAAAGTGAGGCAATGTCGGTACAGTTTCTTGTTAATTAGAGAGTTCGTTAGGTCTTGTCAGAGGATCTTGCCTACCACGGTAAGTGGATCAGTCGCTAAGCGATTGGTTTAAAAACGTACTGCCACCTGCCACCTAATCATAAGCCTGCGAAAACAGACGGAGTTCCGGCTTCTCGGAAATCCGTGCGTGTTCGCAGACTACAGTATCATCCAATCCGAAAAAAACCAAAACTAATCTTGACTCGCACGCACAGTTTTTCCACGCATTTGCGTCAAATGCATGTATTTGCTTTGAGTATTGATTGGTTTCATGGATTGTCAGTCTAATTTGTGATTGGCCAGAGTGGTTAATTTACTTTTGGGTTTACGACAGACACTGTATGTAAACATGCACTGCATGAGTCTTTGCTTGATTTCTTCAACAGGAAGCTCGATGTTTTTGTCGCTGATCACGTCGGTTTAGAATACGAGTCAATGAATGATCCTTACTGTCAGCTCAAAGTTGTTGGCGAACCTTTCGCAATGTCCGGGGCATCAATTGCAGTCAGGAAAGGCCATCCTCTGTTTATACCACTTTCAGAGGCTCTTCAAAATATAAAAGCCAAAGGGCTTACAGACTATATTCAGAAGTTTTGGGTTTCAAAGTATTCCTGCAAGAGAGAAACTCCTCCGGCTCAATTGAAGGTGGAAGATCTCAGTGGACTTTTTCTACAGTTAACAATTGCAATGATTGCTTGTATACTGGGCACAATGTGCCATAGAACATTCCTTTCGCTGTACCACAGAGAACGGTGGAAATCCGATGAAAACGAGCACATCGAGGAAGAAGACCCAAGATGCAGATTTGCGCAAACAGAAACGCTGGTGTGAGACAGAAGTCTTGACGAGCTGCTTAAAATAATGTCTTCGTGACCTGAGAATGGAGTGGATTGAACAGGTTTCCATAGAGCACTCAAAGGAGAAACTGAACCCACTTAGTTGTGGGTTTTCAGCCAGTTTATAGTTGATAACAACAGTATGTGTTGTCAAGAGGTATATTAGCAGCTCGATATAATAGTAACGGACAGTAATATCGACAGCGTGCAAAGTCAGAGCTTATATCGGTGGTCTTGTTTCGCTCACTCGGTCGCTTTGTCCCCGCAGCCCAGTGGATGTGTTGGTTAAGCGTGTTCGTAAGGCCAGAGTCCTGGATTTTCAAGCTCCGTTTGAAAACCCTGCGCATTATTCTTTTCATACTGAAAAATGTCAGATGCATGTCAAAGTAGTGGGTAAATCTGAAGCCGTCCTGAACACGGAATAGAAAAGTCCAGTACCCCTTTTAACTCTCTACCAGAACACGAGTTATACCATTGATTTTCAATTAGTATTAATACAATGAAAGACAAATTACAAGTTTTTGTCACGCAACGCAATCACGAACTGTTCCCCTTTTGTGATTTCTGTTTTAAGGGGTTAAAGGTTTATTTTCCCTCAGTTAAGCCTTGATTGCACGTACCTATGAACAAAGTAATTCCATGAGTTAGGTTCTTCGTTTTTAGTTACCTTAAAACTCTTTGGAGGTCATATTAGATGATGTACTGCGGAAAAAGTGCAATTTCAAATGTATAGCTAAAAATTAATGGTGAAATCTCTGTGGAAATTAGGGAGTAATTTGCTATTCATTGTATTTTCACAGTAATCGTATTATTATGTGTATTATCATAAACATCATATTAAAGAGAAAAAGATGTAGCCGTATATGTCATCGGAGGGGGGGGCGTCATAAAAGCTTAACGATAACGAGTCATCTGTCACTGCATTGATCAACACGACATGCTCAATATCTTACAGGTCTAACCTTGTTGTCTAAAATTGCGTTTGTTTAGCCTGTTCCCACTGGTCAACACGCCATGCTTGATGTTTTACATGTCTAGCCTTGCTGGCTAAAATTTCCTTTGTTTAGCCTGTTTTATTTGACTCTGAGAGTTCTTCCGAGAACGAAAAACAAAAGAGACCTTGTTTTAAGTCAAATAAAACAATATAGTGTAACCCGAAAGGCTAATTTTCATCTTAAACTGGACAGATGGATTGGAAAATTGTATCTTCTTTACACCTCTGTATGGGTTTTCCGAAAGGAAAGGCAAAATGGCAGAGAAGGGAGAATTCTCGTTTCATGTGCTAGTGCCGTCTCAGTTTGTAATAGCTGGTGTAAGAATTGGCTGATGGTATTTAAAAAGATTAAATTACTTATTAAAAAATATCGGGTCGGTATGTTGGCAGGCAATGGAGATGTTGCAACTTAAAACTTTTGCGGGGCCTTATTAGCCTCAGTCCCGTTTTGGGACATGGCGGATAGCCTTTTTACTAGTATTACTAGAAATAATGATTGTATAAATAGAAAAAGATACATACAATTCTATTGTAAATTGCCTTACATACATTGCAGTATTCATGACACTGTATGCAAAAAAAGGAAAGATTAATTAACTGCTAGTTAGTTGTGGGAAATGATAACAATGTTAGATAAAGCTTATGTCATCAAACTTAAGAAAAGTTTGTTATAATGAGAAATAACCGTAAATGAATACATAAAATAATATATGTGCTTTGGTTTATTTCTTTGTGAGAAAAGAATTAACACGGTTCTATAGCGTCTGTCCAGGTTTTTTCTAACTCAGGCAGCTTCGGAAAGGAAGCAAAGAGAGCACAAAAAAAGAAAAAATCGTCGAGAAAAACTAACAACAACAACAACAACAACAAAACAACGACAACAACAAGGTCCGTATAGTGAAAAACTGTGACCGAGGTCTTGAAAATGCTGCCCGAGCCCGCAGGCTGATGACAGCATTTTCAAGTCCGAGGTCAGTTTTTCAATGTACGGACCGAGCATAGCTGGCAAATAACCTATTTATTTTTTCCTCTCTCTCTCCAGCCACTTGTATAATTGTTGACCTTTTCCGCGCACACGCGCACGCGCTTGTTACCGTGATCGTGGACAGAGATAAGAAAATTCGGACTGCGCTAATTAACAAGCAATCAGATTAACGATACGTTACTGTGCCCATTCATGACGCACACTTCATGACTTTTGTAGCTCTATCGCGACGATTGCAGCGATCGTAGCGTTCCTATGGAAACCATGTTGACGTAAGGATCCCTTAACTTTTTCTGTAACGATCCCAGCAACGATAGTGATCAAATGGAAACGAGCAATGAGAACCAGTTTTTACCTGGGCTTGAGCTGCGAAACGTCGAGCAGCTTTTTAATCAAAATATACAATTGCACGTTATACAGTGTATGTTAACAATTTAATTTGTACAGCTATGCAAAAATTGAGTTTACTGGGATTAAAAACAATAACTTTGACGGACGTGAACTCTCTTCCAATACGATTGCTAGGTTGGGAAGAAAAATCACTTGTTTTACTTTCCATTGAGAGTGCTCCGCGGTGAACGTGTGTCTGTGTGTGTCTGTGTTTTTTTTTCCCAAGTTTATTATTTTTTTTATTATACGTAAACTTGTTCGGTTTGGCCTAGATCATTCTAGCTACATAACATATCGACACATTTTTGCAGTGTGAACATCTTGACATAATGGTAGCAGAACACCATGAACATAACGACATAAGGGAAAAAACAAAAACAAAAACTAAAAAAACAACTAGATATTTTCGTTAAATCTTTATGTCGATGTTTACATTACCAAAACAAGCTTTTGATGTAGTTATGTCGCTATGTCATTCTGTCGCTAGTATGAACTAGGCCTTACTCTTTCTTTTCCTTCTTCTGTGAAAGGAGCATAAAAAAAGGGCCGTGATATATATTTTTCCTGAACTTAATTAATTATTCATGTTCCATAACGCGGCCAGGTGACAGTCTCGCTCTAATGTGTTTCTTGAATTCCTGCAACGCGAAAAAACCTACGACAATGAAATAAATGGATTTTTATTGCTGAAGTCTACTTTTAATTTAAACCCTTTCAGTGTACCGACTGTAATATATATTTGGCGTTGGTTTGACTTCACACAATAGTTTTTCTTTTAGCTGTGTGGAACTACAGATCATGAGCAGCTGCAAACTTTTACTTGGGAGTCTCGTTTTAAGTTGCCCATTGTAATCGGCAGTTCCTCCAGAGACTAAAGAAATCATGATTACTTCAGAATCTCCATAAACTATCACCGTATTTACGATCATTTACAGTAAGAATCGTAATCTTTTGCTGTATCATTTGCATCTTGCTGTATTGCTTAATAACATTATTTTCTTGTCTGGGAAG